CTTACTATACTAGGACGTTTTTTGACGTTTTTTTGCCTTACTATACTATGACATTTTTTGATACTTTTTGCCATACTATACCATGACGTTTTTTGACGTTTTTTTCCTTGACTATACTATGACGTCATTATCCCTCACTATACTTTGACCTTTTTTGATATTTTTTGCCTTACTATACTATGACGTTTTTTGACACTTTTTGCCTCACTATACTATGACGTTTTTATGCCTTACTATACTATGACGTTTTTTGACGTTTTTTTGCCTTACTATACTATGACATTTTTTGATACTTTTTGCCATACTATACCATGACGTTTTTTGACGTTTTTTTCCTTGACTATACTATGACGTTATTATCCCTCACTATACTTTGACCTTTTTTGATCATTTTTGCCTTACTATACTATGACGTTTTTTGATGTTTTTATGTCTTCCTATACAATGATGTTTTTTGACATTTTTTGCTTTACTATACTATGACGCTTTTTGACACTTTTTGCCTTACTATACTATGACGTTTTTTGAGGTTTTTATGCCTTCCTATACTATGACGTTTTCTGATATTTTTTGCCTTACTATACCATGACGTTTTTTGACACTTTTTTCCTTACTATAATATGACGCTTTTATGCCTAACTATACTATGACGTTTTTTGACCCTTTTTTTTTTGCCTTACTATACCATGACGTTTTTTGACACTTTTTGCCTTACTATAATATGACGCTTTTATGCCTCACTATACTACGACGTTTTTTGACATTTTTTTCCTTACTATAATATGATGTTTTTTGATACTTTTTGCCTTACTATACTATGACGTTTTTATGCCTTACTATACTATGACGTTTTTTGACGTTTTTATGCCTTACTATACTATGACGTTTTTTGACATTTTTTGCTTTACTATACTATGACGCTTTTTGACACTTTTTGCCTTACTATACTATGACGTTTTTTGAGGTTTTTATGCCTTCCTATACTATGACGTTTTCTGATAATTTTTGCCTTACTATACTATGACGTTTTTTGATACTTTTTGCCTAAGTACACTATGACGTTTTTATGCCTTATTATACTATGATGTTTTTTGACGTTTTTTTCCTTGACTATACTATGACGTTTTTATGACTTACTATACTATGACGTTTTTTGACGTTTTTATGCCTTCCTGTACAATGATGTTTTTTCTGATATTTTTTGCCTTACTATACTATGACGTTTTTTGACACTTTTTGCCTTACTATACTATGACGTTTTTTGACACTTTTTGCCTTACTATACTATGACGTTTTTTGACACTTTTTGCCTTCTTATACTATGACGTTTTCATGCCTTACTATACTATGACGTTTTTTGATACTTTTTGCCTTCCTATACTATGACGTTTTTTGACACTTTTTGCCTTACTATACTATGACGTTTTTATGCCTTACTATACTATGACGTTTTTTGACGTCTTCATGCCTTCCTATACAATGACGTTTTCTGACATTTTTTGCCTTACTATACCATGATGTTTTTTGACACTTTTTGCCTTACTATAATATGAAGCTTTTATGCCTCACTATACTATGACGTTTTTTGACATTTTTTGTCCTTACTATAATATGATGTTTTTTGATACTTTTTGCCTTACTATACTATGACGTTTTTATGCCTTACTATACTATGACGTTTTTTGACGTTTTTTTGCCTTACTATACTATGACGTTTTTTGACACTTTTTGCCTTACTATACTATGACGTTTTTTGATACTTTTTGCCTTAGTATACTATGACGTTTTTATGCCATACTATACTATGACGTTTTTTGACGTTTTTTTGCCTTACTATACTATGACATTTTTTGATATTTTTTGCCATACTATACCATGACGTTTTTTGACGTTTTTTTGCCTTACTATACTATGACATTTTTTGATATTTTTTGCCATACTATACCATGACGTTTTTTGACGTTTTTTTCCTTGATTATACTATGACGTTATTATTCCTCACTATACTATGCCTTACTATAATATAACGTTTTTTGATACTTTTTACCTTGTTTTGAAGAGATTTTTTGCCTTACTGTCCTATGACGTTTTGATGCCTTACTATACTATGACGTTTTTTGAGGTTTTTATGACTTACTATACTATGACGTTTTCTGATATTTTTTGCCTTACTATACCATGACGTTTTTTGACACTTTTTTCCTTACTATAATATGACGCTTTTATGCCTAACTATACTATGACGTATTTTGACATTTTCATGCCTTACCATACTATGACGTTTTTTGACGTTTTTTTGCCTTACTATACTATGACATTTTTTGATACTTTTTGCCTTACTATACTGTGATGTTTTTTGACGTTTTTTTGCCTTACTATACTATGACATTTTTGACACTTTTTGCCTTACTATACTATGACGTTTTTTGATACTTTTTGCCTTACTGTACTATGACGTTTTCTGATATTTTTTGCCTTACTATACTATGACGTTTTTTGACACTTTTTGCCTTACTATACTATGACGTTTTTTGATACTTTTTGCCTTACTGTACAATGACGTTTTCTGATATTTTTTGCCTTACTATACTATGATGTTTTTTGACACTTTTTGCCTTACTATACTATGACGTTTTTTGATACTTTTTGCCTTAGTATACTATGACGTTTTTATGCCTTACTATACTATGACGTTTTTTGACGTTTTTTTGCCTTACTATACTATGACATTTTTTGATTTTTTTTGCCATACTATACCATGACGTTTTTTGACGTTTTTTTGCCTTACTATACTATGACATTTTTTGATATTTTTTGCCATACTATACCATGACGTTTTTTGACGTTTTTTTCCTTGATTATACTATGACGTTATTATTCCTCACTATACTATGCCTTACTATAATATAACGTTTTTTGATACTTTTTACCTTGTTTTGAAGAGATTTTTTGCCTTACTGTCCTATGACGTTTTGATGCCTTACAATACTATGACTTTTTTTTAGGTTTTTATGCCTTCCTATACTATGACGTTTTCTGATATTTTTTGCCTTACTATACCATGACGTTTTTTGACGTTTTTATTCCTTACTATCCTATGACGTATTTTGAAATTTTCATGCCTTACCATACTATGACGTTTTTATGCCTTACTATACTATGACGTTTTTATGCCTTACTATACTATGACGTTTTTATGCCTTACTATACTATGACGTTTTTATGCCTTACTATACTATGACGTTTTTATGCCTTACTATACTATGACGTTTTTATGCCTTACTATACTATGACGTTTTTATGCCTTACTATACTATGACGTTTTTATGCCTTACTATACTATGACGTTTTTATGCCTTACTATACTATGACGTTTTTATGCCTTACTATACTATGACGTTTTTTGACGTTTTTATTCCTTACTATACTATGACGTATTTTGAAATTTTCATGCCTTACCATACTATGACGTTTTTTGACGTTTTTTTGCCTTACTATAGTATGACATTTTTTGATACTTTTTTCCTAAGTACACTATGACGTTTTTATGCCTTATTATACTATGATGTTTTTTGACGTTTTTTTCCTTGACTATACTATGACGTTTTTATGACTTACTATACTATGACGTTTTTTGACGTTTTTATGCCTTCCTGTACAATGATGTTTTTTTAAATTATTTGCCTTACAATACTTTGATGTTTTCTGACATTTTTTGCCTCACTATACTATGACGTTTTCTGATATTTTTTGCCTTACTATACTATGACGTTTTTTGACACTTTTTGCCTTACTATACTATGAGGTTTTTTGACACTTTTTGCCTTCTTATACTATGACGTTTTTATGCCTTACTATACTATGACGTTCTTTGACGTTTTTATGCCTTACTATACTATGACGTATTTTGACATTTTTTTCCTTGACTATACTATGACGTTTTTATGACGTTTTTATGCCTTCCTGTACAATGATGTTTTTTTAAATTATTTGCCTTACAATACTTTGATGTTTTCTGACATTTTTTGCCTCACTATACTATGACGTTTTCTGATATTTTTTGCCTTACTATACTATGACGTTTTTTGACACTTTTTGCCTTACTATACTATGAGGTTTTTTGACACTTTTTGCCTTCTTATACTATGACGTTTTTATGCCTTACTATACTATGACGTTTTTTGATACTTTTTGCCTTACTATACTATGACGTTTTTTGATACTTTTTGCCTTCCTATACTATGACGTTTTTTGACACTTTTTGCCTTACTATACTATGATGTTTTTATGCCTTACTATACTATGACGTTTTTTGACGTCTTCATGCCTTCCTATACAATGACGTTTTCTGACATTTTTTGCCTTACTATACCATGACGTTTTTTGACACTTTTTGCCTTACTATAATATAAAGCTTTTATGCCTTACTATAGTATGACGTATTTTGACATTTTCATGCCTTACCATACTATGACGTTTTTTGACGTTTTTTTGCCTTACTATACTATGACAATTTTTGATACTTTTTGCCTTACTATACTGTGATGTTTTTTGACGTTTCTTTGCCTTACTATACTATGACATTTTTGACACTTTTTGCCTTACTATACTATGACATTTTTTGATTTTTTTTGCCATACTATACCATGACGTTTTTTGACGTTTTTTTCCTTGATTATACTATGACGTTATTATTCCTCACTATACTATGCCTTACTATAATATAACGTTTTTTGATACTTTTTACCTTGTTTTGAAGACATTTTATACCTTACTGTCCTATGACGTTTTGATGCCTTACTATACTATCACCTTTTTTTGTGTGACTATAATATATCTTCCCAGGCCTGGGACCTTTCTGTGTGCAGTTTATTAATGATATACTATGTGCCACTCAGAACTCATAATGTTGCATCCCAGAGCAGAGACAGAACACAAATCACAACAGCAACAACCTCAAGTGTGTTTATTGGGGAAAAGACCATAGTGACTGTGAATGCAGAGTGGGAGTGGGTCTGGGAAATCCAGGTGTATGGCGAGGACATCAAGCCGGACTACAGAGGACACTGAAGACCAGAGCCAGATGATTGAACACACACTGGAAACACAAGGGACGACTGGAGACCAAAGGCAGCTGGGTGGTGTGGTGTGGCATGTCATGGCGACAGTGGAGTGTAGCAATATCAGCAGCACACAAATCAGGAACTCTTCTGGAGCAAAGGAGAACAAAGGGTTAATAGAGGCAAAAACACAGAGGAGATCACTCAAAGACTAGATAACTCTGTAGTCGCACAAACTAATCAGAACGGCCGAGAGAGTAGCTACCACTGTGAAGAGCGGAACAACCTGTCAACAAATGGAGGGATGGCCAGGGTAGAGATAGTGAAGATGATGACTGAGAGATTACAGGTGTGGTGTTGAGCTGCTGTCCATACCATGCCTCTGCTGAGTCACCTAATGTCAGGGGAAGCACAGCACACAGACACATACATGGGAGGGGAGACAAACAGAAAAAGGGAAATAAACATAGGGTGACAAAGCGGGAGTGTGACATTATGACTCACCATATTATAATTTTTTATGCCTTACTTTACTATGCTTGCTATAATATGATGTTTTTATGCCTTTGTATGCTATGACATTTTTATGACATTTTATGCCTTACTAAACTATCATGTTTTTTGACGTTTTGATGCCTAACTATTCTACGACTTTTTTCTTGCCTTACTCTATTATGATGTTTTTTTATATGTTTTCATGCCATACTATACTAGGACATTTGTATGACATTTTATGCCTTTCTGTATTTTGACATTTTTATGACATTTCATGCCTAACTAAACTATGACTTTTTTATGCCTTACTATACTATGATGTTTGTCCGATGTTTTGATGCCTTACTATACTGTTATGGTTTTGATGTTTCTATGCCTTACTATTTTATAACGTTTTTATGCCTAACTCTACTATGACCTTTTTTTTGTTACATTTGATGTTTTACTATGCTATGAAGTTTATGCCTTATCATACTTTGATGTTTTTTGACATTTTAATGCCTAACTATTCTATGACGTTTTCTTTCCATACTGTACTATGACACTTTTTAAAAGTTTTTATGCCTTATTATACTTTGACATTTTTATGACATTTTATACTTCACTAAACTATGATGTTTGTATGCCTTATTATAATATGACATTTTTTATGCCTTTTTGAATTATGACATTTTTATGATATTATATGCCTCACTATATGATGACATTTTTATGACATATAATGCCCTATGACTATTTTATGTCTTATTACAGTATTACGTCTTTATGCCTGACTGTAGTATAATGCTTTTATGACAATTTCTGCCTTACTGTACTATGACGCTTTTGTCGTTTTTATGCGTTACTATACTATAATTTTCTTATGCCTTACAGTTCCATGTTTTTATGGCATTTTCCGTCTTTCTATTTCATGACATTTTTTTGATGTTTTTATGCCTTACTATACTATGACTTTTTTATGCCTTAGTATACTATGATGTTTTTTGATGTTTTGATGCCTTACTATACTGCGATGATTTTCACGTTTCTATGCCTTATTGTACCATGATGTTTTTATGGCATTCTCTACTTAGTATTCTATGACGTTTTTTGACATTTTTATGCCTTACTATACTATGACTTTTTATGACATTTTATGCATCACTATACTATGACATTTTTATGTGTTAACATACTTTGATATTTTTATGCCATTTTTATGCCTTGCTATGACGTCTTTCTGAAGATTTTATGCCTTACTCTACTATGAAGTTTTTACACCTTACTATATACTATGACATTTATTTTGACTTACTATGATGTTTTCATTACGTTTTCATCCCTTGCTATACTATGATGTTTTTATGATGATTTTATACCTTACTATACTATGTTTTTATGCCTGAATTGAAATGAAATAGAAAAATTTATTAAAAAAATAAGTAAATAAAATGTCGTTCTGGAGTGGTAGACAGTGTATGTGTGTTTTCTCTCTTTACATCAGTGTGTTTTATCTGTGTAGTATGTTCATACACATGCCATATGTGAAAGTCTGGTCTTCATTAGTGGAGGAGGGCTAACAAGAGGTCACTCTGAAAATACTCCAGTCCACAACATAGAGCCATGCATGGTTTTACAGTTAGGATGCAGGAATTGAACCTGTGTTTCAACTGCCTGTTTGTGTTCTGACTTGAGAGTAAGACTTTCTTACCATTAGTTTAAGGAGGAATATGTCAGGTATTTTTCAGTCAAACATAATACAAATTTCATACATTGGCTCACTTTAACAAGGACACAGTATTAACAGTTCAGTACTGTTGCAAAGAGTTGGTAAATGAAAGTTCCATGTCCACTTTTCCATCTGCAGACTGTGCCACTGCTAGTAACAACCACTAGGGTGCAGATAGTCTTATCATATGTGAGTGAATGAATGAATTTGGGAAAGAGCTGTTTCCTGAACCCACAAGGTGATTCACATCTAAGTGATTCATTATGGAACAACAGGTCAAACGTGACTCTCCTCTCCTTGTCCTGCAACATAGACAATTCCTGGGTCTTGCAACACTGTACATGAAAATAAAGCCACACAAAGAGATCTGGTCGAAGTTGTAAAATACTGTTTTGTTGAGAATATAATTCTGCCTCATAACAATTCTCTCCATCTTTGAGCCTTTAAAAGTAGGGATGTTCTGAGCTGATTTGCTGGAGTTGATCAAGGCATATTTTAAATGATCAGAATAAGCTGCATTAGGTCGGGCTCAGTTTTCATCCCTTAAAGTAAACACAGTGTTCTCCATCTATGCCAGCTGTCATATTGCTCTATAAATATGCCCTTTCTGGAATAAAAACTAGTTCACCAGGTCACTGAAACAGAGTGTGCACTGGTTGTGCTCAGAGAACAAGAAAACATTGTGATGGAAAATTTACACATTGAGAATGTAATTGACTTTTGTTCTGTTGGGTGATATATAATTTTGATCTTTTTTAATATGTTAATGAAAAATAAGAATTAAAATAGACTGAAGGAAAGCTGCCATGAAAGTTTCTATTTTTAGAGCTACTGATTTTTCAAACATATCCTAATTAAATTTGACCTGTTTTACTAACTTTCATACAGCTTATGTCTGCACCGTGCAGTTTTTCTTAAGAACTAGGAAAAAAATAAATATTGGATTGAGATTCTGCAGATATTTAGATAACTGTGTTCTTCTTCAGGATATCCTCAGTTGAAATCTGAGCAGGTGGTGGTAGTGTAACTTTTTATTCAGACCAGAAAGTGAGTTTTCAATGCCAAAAATATCAACACCTGGCAAAGTACTCGATGGCTCACTGTATTGATCTTACAACCCAATAAAACATCTGCAGGTACTGTATATTGTGGTCATTTAGTGCTGTGGGACAGTAAAAAACTCACTTATTGCACCTTTAAATCACATTTTATTAAACAGTTTAGGCTTGGCAATGTGTTCGAACTGAATTATTTAATTTATCACTGAATTATGACACATTTGCTTAGATATTAACAGGTCTTTAGATAATTTGGACTAACTATGACATTAAATATATTCCTTAAAGCCTAGAAATTAGAATAAACATATGAATATGAACAACGGTTCTTTAAAAACTTTAATATATGTTTTAAAGGATTTATAGCAGCAGTTATATAGAACCATTTGAATGTGAGTTTATCACGACATAAATGGTTTGCTGATGTGGAAACCAAAGGATTCTTTCATTCAAATAATATTTAGAAACATCTGAGTTTGTGTATTTTGAAATCTAAAACCATAAAGTCCAGAATCTCTATCACTTTATGCTTTATGAACTACCAGACTGTAATGGTTTACCCAGAACTATTCTCAGGTAGACTCACTATGACACTGAGCAAGCAGCTACTCATTGGCCATCATGGTCAGACAGTAGCATAAAATCACCCCATTAAAAGAAAGCTAAATATTGACAGAGGGTTTAGGCTTGGCTGACTGGAAGTCAAAATTTAACATGTGTGAGTCGCATTAGGAGTTTGCATTTTTAAAAAGGGAGTTCTGAAACCTTTAGAAGCTATTTGCAAATTCTATTATTTAGCAATCAGGCTGTGAAAGATCACTGTCGTCCTGCTTTCTTATCCTTTCTTCTGCCTCTTGAATATCACAGATGACTTGAGAATAGTTGACCCCCGTCTCGGGTTGATTATTTAGCTATGCCTTCACTCAACACTCCACCTCTCTCCCCTCACTGACCACCTCCTTTCCCCCTGAAGACCACTATTCTCTGGTCAGATTTACGGCAAAATGTGTGTGTTCCACCATATTTGTGAAATTCCCCATGTGTCAACCTCCAGCTCCCCTACGCAGGGCTTTGAACCTGCCCGCTAGCTGGAGAGCACGCATAAATCCAGAACACCCGATGCAGAGGAGTAGACTTTCTTTACATAGGAGCCTAATTGCTGAACTTTGCCACAGCCGAGTTTGCTGAGCTGAATGATTTGTCAAAATTCCTGTCTCTTGGTAATAAATTACCCGGCCGGCTTGGTCAGCCAGTTAACATTTTAAATAAAAATGGGTCCCTTTGGATTCTCTTGGTTGGTAACAACATCTCTCTCTTTTTTTCTTAAAGGTTTAACTAGGGCAAGGTTGCCTGACAACTGAGGAATGTTTTGACATTTTCGACCCTCCCTATTAATATCATAATGAACTGGCAGTGCGGAGCTGTCATGAAACACGAAACACAACTCTAAATCTATCATTGTCATTCTGTGAAAATATATAACATGCATCACATATATGGCAGGAAAAGTGGACATTTTCACGAAAATTAAATTACATCTGGAACATTTTGTTGTGATGAGTTTCATGACCACCTAGTTTGTGTGACTATGAATTAAGCTGTTCGGGAGAATTGTGGGAAAAAGTGAGTGCGCCGTCCCGTCAGAAGCCAAAGTGAGTGTTTGTTTTGACTTGGAGTTCTCCTTGCACTTGGACTGACCCTCCACTAAACTGACTTAGCTCAGTAACAGCGTGTTGGCTCAGGCTCGCTGTTCTTTTTTGCTCATTTCCATTTTGTCTATCCTTACTTAGTCAGCTTCTTAAGCCTGTCTATGAATTTTCATATGCCTCTGGTTTATTGCATTGGCAAAACACAAGTAATAATTCTACACTGAAGTAGGTTTCCTTTGATGGTAAAGGACATTTACTCAAGTACTATACTTAAGTCAAGTCAGAGGCAAATATTGCACTTTTCACTTGACTACATTTATTGAACAGCTGTAGTTACCGGTTAATTAAACAATTTTTTGTACAAAACTTATGATCAGGTCATAAAATGTGATTGCTATAGTATATAAAGTAGTTAAAATTAGCTTCAGTTTCAACATTAGAGAGGACTTTTACTGATTTTACATCAGTTTACTAGTGATAGAGAGTGACAGCCAGCCTGAAGTAACAGCTGAATAATGTCTTCTGTGACTCGATCTGGAGGACATTTGCCAAGGCAGAATCCAGATTTATGATGATGCTGGTCGCATTATGGGTAATGTAGGAGCCAGACCCATCATTACCAGGGACTAGTGTGGATTGTCTGGATATCTCTGCCTCTACTGCTTCAATTTTTATCATTATTTTTCAAATCTGCAATACTAAATACCAGGACTACCACTTAAGTTTATGGATAGATGTATCCATAAGGATAATCCAACCAATAATACAACACTCTGAAAAGAGCCATTCAATGTAAGTATCATATGTCGCCTTACATTTTCCTGTTGATACTTATGTACTTTTTGATTAAGTAAAATTATGAAGATAAAGTTTTCTTACTTTGTGGTATTGGTACTTACAGGAACAGATATGAATACTTCTTCCACCACCACAAAAATGTATAAACAGGAAATAATGAATTGTAACTAAATATTATGAATTTATACATATTTACATTTCCTCCATTTTGACAGTACAGTATTTTATTTACTGTAATGCACATACTATAAAATTAATACAAAACTTTCATAATATTATAAAAGATACTAATAATGCATCAGTCACAATGATGTAGCTCTTCCATTTTAAAGTAGGCTATGTTTGTCTTTCAAGCTCATATGTTCTTGAGTATAGCTGCACCCTGCCGGGCTAATCTGCAGGCCTTCAGGTTTTCCAGCCACATCAAACTGGGAGCCAAGATTCTTCAGCCCGAGCCCCTCATGAGTGAAGCACTTTGTGCTCCAAGCTCAAAATAGCATGCAGCTCTCAATTATTGGGTAAGGAGCAAACACAGGTGTGGAATCCCAACCACCACCACTGGTGCCCGTGCCACAGAATAAAGCCACTCTTGTCCCAAAGAGCATGACTAGGAAGGCCAGATCCATGCCAGGCTTTGAACTGCAGAGACCACTTGGCCTGTTTGGTGCCGGAGCTAAAAGAGACCTTTTAAAGGTGTGGAAATGAAGTGTCCCACATCAATCATGCATTTCCACTTCTGAATTATTCAGCAGTTACTGCTGCCTGCAGACTCCCATTCCCCTCTATATGTGTGCATGTGGGTGAGCTTGTGTGTCAGGGTATGCATGCATTTCTAAAGTTGTGTCATTGTGTCTTTATCTAGGGTGTGTGCTGCCTTGATTGTTTGGAGGAATTAAGGAGGATTGAAGGTCTGTATTTTTTGAAACAGGAGAACTAACCATCAGTGTTGAGGTAAATATTTGAACTCTTTTTTGTTTGTTTTTTTACTGTATACTTCCATAGAATGGATGTTCCTTATTTTAAATTACGACAAAATGTGTCTTAAAAATGACTTAGCTTTTCTAAAGTAGACACTTTGATGATAAAGTCCCACCCCCCCAACACTGAAAATATATGTTAAAGTCTATAATTCTTCCCTGCAGCTAGCTATAGTGAAGGACAGTGTGTGTGGAGGAGGGAGGGGGGCGACAAAGAGCAGAGCTCAGTGGTGTCTGCCACAGACAATGAGCGCTCTGTTTGGCTGGCTGTGATTCTGCTGGTGTGGATCAGGTGGCCCCGTTTAATTCCAGGTTCTTGGCCTCTCTCCTGCTGCTCTGCTTTTCTCTTCTCAGCACGTTCTTTGCATTTATGGGGCAAGCAGGCCCGTCCTGTGTGAGCTGGGTTCCAGAAGGCTGGACCTGGACCTGGGCCGTGCACTGATGAATTGCTGACTAATTGGCTGAAATGAGACAATGTGGATGGTGTCACAGAGCCAGCCAAGTGCCAAGAAAGAGTGAGCTGTGCTGGTCACTCACTATCTCATTCACTAATTCACTCATCCATACAAGAAAAAGAAATAAGGACATTCATTTGGAAAATGATGGGATGATTAGGTGTAAGTTGATGGAGAATAAAATGCTTAAAATTACTTAATTTATTTACTAGATGCTGTAATTCACTTACTCTAATATCATCAGATATTGCTGAAGTTATATTTGTATATGTAAAAAAAACATGGTGTTGGCATTCTCGTGCTCTGAGATTGTGGGAAAAATTATATTCATCAGAAAATTGCTGTGCACAGAGGAACAAGTATTAAATTAATCCCTTAATTATTTTGCTAACTTTTCATAAGTGGGACACAAAGTCCCTCACGGAAACCTATTTTTACAGTAAAAATAATGACAGCAGATTGTGCGTCTTAGTTTCAGAGTGCTGTCTGCAGCCAAAAGATCTGTGTAGTTGTGTGTGGCCCACACAGGAAATTAAGAAACCTCTGCAGCTTTAAGCATATTTGTGTCTGAATTATCTTGGAACAGCGGATTTAAACAAAACTGAAACAAGGTTCAGCGTGTGCTCGCTCTGGGCATGTGTGGTCAGTGGGCAGCTTAAATGTAGATCTTCTTTGTCAGAGATGACCGACTGTGGTTTTTAAATTCATACTTATTTACTAATTATTTTTTTTAAAAATGATGAATTTTTTTAGGTGCTTCTCAAAATTACTTTTCTTTTGTGTTTAGATTTATTTTTTAGTGTGCCCTATTAACACATCAGTGGATCCGTATATGATGAATGAGTATTATAATATATTGTATTAGAAATACTTGATGTTGTTTAATCACTGCAGCTGCGAAGGAACGAGTGAATAAAAATGGAAATAAGAAAAAATAAACTTTGCATCCTAACAGAATGTAGATCTTTAAAATGGCAATATTAACAGACAGACTCATGCTATAGTTCTTAAAATACCATCAGCTACTGTGAGTGTATGTGAAGAATATCAGTGTAAATGCAAAAACCTTGCAACTTCACCACTAATACATGTGAGAAAAACCCTGTTACAACAGTGAGTGTGTGTGTGTGTGTGTGTGTGTGTGTGGGCGCCGAGGGACCCAACAGAAACAAGACTTATTTACTTTAGGACAAAGTGTAACGGGCAGAATGAAGATGAGACAGATCCCCTTTAGAAAGACTTGAGCCAATCACTGCGAGTTCATCACAGTCTCTTCACTGCTGTGCACAGCAGATACAGTACACTGCAGCCAGCGAGTGTCCATCCTCTGTGGGCATGAATTTACACAGATGGTTCTTATATCGGCGGATTAGAGAACATATTTCCTCAATAAGTGAAAAAACAAAGGCTTCACTGAATTTATTATGTCTTAATTGAGGAGACCTACATCAATGTATATTTTTGTGTGAACAAACCTGCTGGATTTTCTTTTTTTTTTTTTCGGTTTTATAATCTCATTCAGAGATTGTTATCAGTGGAGTTTACGTGGGGTCAGATATTTAGAAACAAAATTCTTCAGGTAGGTTCCCTTCACATCCAAAATGACATGAGATTAATTTAATATTTTTATCTAAAATAATGTTTTTGATTTTAGTGTCACTTGGAAATTGCATTCAAAAGGCTTGAGGGAAACAGCAAATTCAGTATAAACCTCATGTAAAATGTTATGTCATGGTATATGATAACTTTTCAAAATAAATTCAAATTAATTTGGAGGACTCAGTCTAGTGGGAACTCATTGCATGATTGAGAATGATGCTAAATATATATATTTCATATATATATCATATGTTGTACCACATTGTAGCTGGACTGTAACTTTTATTTTTTTTATTCTCCTGTTTTATCTATTTTATTCAAATTTAGCTTTTTTTTAATTTTCTATTATATTTGTGTTTTTTTTATTTTTGAATAAAAAATTGCCATGCCTTGCCTAGATTACCCTCATATTCCTTGACTCCGATTTTCTCTAATATTATTTGAAGTTAACATGTAAAATTTGCTTGTGTTTACTATAAGCTAACACTGAAATAACGGTTCAACTTAAATGTAATTAAGTTTCTATATAAATAGACTGTAATCTACAGGACAATAGTTCAAATATTATAAAACATATTTAAATTTGAACTCATACATTCTCATATATTTTGCTTACATTGGCAGACATGGATAAATCAGAATCTGTCACAATGATCAGGTCACAGAAATAATACCTAATGTATGGAAATTCCTACATGTTCACAGAAGCAGTACAAAGGTAAGCAAATACATTCTGAGACGAGTAAAGCTTCATGTACACAAGTCATTCTTACATGTGGCAGAGTGTTAACGGTGGTGGTGTAGCAGCCTCGTCTCTCTGTGCCCTCCAAGGTGAGCTCTGTCTCCAGCCAGTCAAAGGGGACCATGGGAAAGCTCACATGCCGATTAATCACGGCTAATGAGCTGGAACAGGGTAGCTCGAGCTGCCTTCCATGACCATCTAACCTCACACACACACAAACACACACACACACACACACACACACATATACACACGTAATGTCAGACATGGACAGACGTGTGAAGGGCAGAATAACAGACACATTTTTTACTTGTAGTGTTAGTTTGCCATTACATTTAAAAATGGTCATTGCTAATAATAAAAGAAACATATATTTTATTGTAGTTAAATGCAACATTAAGATTATCATAATTTTTTTTTTTTGGCTAATTTATTTTTTATAAAATAACATTATACCATAATTATGATGCAAATCTATCAGTTACGTTTAAGAACATGCAAGTAAAAAAAAAAAAAAAAAAAATTATTTTTGAAGTTGTAGTAAGGGGGAAAAAAACTGGTCTGCCAAATTTCTTTCTTCAATAATGTTAACAAAAATGCTAACTTACCATTGTGTATTCACAGTTCTTGGCATCAAAGTGACCCCTGCAACCAGTGGGTTGTAATGAACAGAGTTTAAACAAACAGGAAAGCAGAGCGATGACTGAGAGGAGGAGGAAAACAGAAATAAGTGATGTCATATAGAAAGTGATGAATGACAAAGCTGATGTTGATAAAAAAAATACTCCAAGTATATTTTAGTGCTGAAAGGCATGCCATGCTAAGATGTATGTATGACTCCATTATATATATGTGTGGGCCAAGGCTGAATGTCTCCATGTATGACACCATTCTTTACTTTATATATTCTCCTTAATACCCAGTTATCACATAAAAAAAACTAAGTGAACCAAAGTGGTGTGAGCACAAAAAATAATAACATCATCCCTTTTAATGTCCTACATGGTGCAGCTTTCATGTTACACATGGCAAACCGTATATAATGTGGTTTCTCGACCTCTCTCTGGCTGCTGAGGAAGCTACAGCTGTGGGCCTCTTACTGTAACAGTAATCCTTGTGGCACATATATCTTAACTGACGCTTGTGAGTGCACATTTCAGTTATCATTCCTGGAGGCGCATATATCTTTGGTCGGACTTCTGTTGCAGAGTCCCCCTGTCCTTGTACCCTGGCAGGTGATGCAACCGAGACACCGTGGAAGGTGATTGTCATTTAAATTCTTGCCGTTCGGAAAATAGATCCATTTGTTATGTGATTATGGTCTCTGCGAGCAGAGGTCAAGAGGGTGTGGTGGTGTGTAAATCCGCATTGGTAATCTATTTGACTACGGTTGAAATGCGAAGGCAACGGGTGTGGCCTCAGTATCTCACAAAATCATTTTATTATGAATCGCCCCTCCCTGGGATTGCATGTTTATATAGTAAACCGATGCCCACATGTTAAATAAGGAATCTGAGCCTTCAGCCTGCACTGTGGAATGTATACCTGAGTAGTGTCACACACACACACACACATACACACACACACACACACACACACACACACACACACACACACACTCCTGCAGATGCTCGCTTTTACAGACACACACCTGTCTGTAGTTTAAGAAGCAACTAATGGAAACTTAAGCAAGTTGTCCCTGCCAGAAATTTGTGGTATGGGTGTTCGTGTGTATGTCATCTGAATAAAGGAAGGTTTAGCCAAATCCACCAACTGCTCATGGCACATATCCCAGTGCGAGGCATCCAAGCCACAGGAAACCTCCCACCATAACATGCTGTAGTTAAGATGTTATTCTGAGTGTTGCTGCTACAGTAGCATCACAGTCTTGAGAGCTTAAATTCAGTTTAGGGAGTCAATCTTTAATTTGAGGTCAGATGTAAGGGTCTTATCCATCAATTAGTCATAAACATGCCTCATTCAAGTGTGTAATTACTTGTAGTTGCTCACAAGAGCTAATGTATTGACTCAATCACTAACAAGCCAGAGTGAAAACATCTAGGGCATCTACGCAAGTTCGTGATTCCCAAATCAGCTTGCGCTCGTTCCTTCCATCCGTGTGGGAAGAGAGGAGGGTGGGGTGACCTCTCTGGTGTGTTTCTAATATCTCCCCAAAAGTCCCTGCGGGCAGGATCGTCTTGGGTGTTCCAGGGTGGACTCTGGTGTTGTTATATTTAACGGGTTCCCAGCGCAGAAAGCAGAGGGAGAAGAAAGAGGAGGAAAAGAGAAGGGAGAAAGAGAGCTGTGTGATGGTGAGCTGACTGCAGATTATCGGCCTCACCTGGAGGAAAAAAGCACCCTCTGTGCATGACTTGGGGTAAGATCTATGTTGCCCTCTCTCCTCCCCTCTCAACTCTCCTTTTTCTCTTTCTTAGTGGGGAGGAGGGATATAGGTAATGACGCTTAAGTGAGCCTGGTGTCTGGTAATGTAATATACACAAAGCCCTTGTCAGGTCTGGATCCAATAATGTGTCATTTACCAGGTCTGGAACAGATTGGCCCAGATGATCGGAGTGAACCTTTGCCCGGGTGAAGAGTACTCAGCATCACTCGGCCTGGAGGCCTTACAAGCAGACCCTCGCCTCGCCCCATCTAACTTGCACCTTTCACCTCCTCATCCCTTGTAAACACCGTCGCACACTTCAAATAAGATAAGATTGTGTGACTAAAATGAACTGTGTCTCAGATGCACCATTGTTAGATAAAAACATTTAATTTGAGAGGCAGCTCAGAATTTGTTGCCACAAACTTTATCCATTTTCACACCAAGGCACAGGACTCTACGTAGATATACAGATGGGTGACAAATTAAAATGAAAAACTGACCAAATGAGTGCAATCAGAATAAACACATATTACGCCAAACAGGAAACTAATTGAACAAAGTGCTAATTGAACAAAATGAAATGTTCAGTGAGAATGAATGATGATAGTTTTGTGTTGAGACGGGGCCTTTCTTGTTGTCTACAACATGGAAATATTTTTGACGTGAAATGTTTACAGATAAGTAATGGAGGAGCTTGTGGAGACAATGTGTATGAGTTGTATTTCTACGTGTCCAAAGTGAACACTTTCAACAGAGTTGGCTCAAAAACCTCCATGCTTCAACAAGGCTTCATCAATCCACCACTAATGGCCTTCACAGTTTCCAGATCTCAACCCAACTGCACACCTATGGGAGATTGCGGAATAATGTGTTAAACAGCGCTCTGCTCCAGCATCATCAAAACACCAAATGAGAGAATATGTTTTGGTCGAATGTTGAGTCCAGAGACTTGGAGAATTTATGACAAGGAAGCAATGAAGCTGTTTTGGAGGCTCAAGGTGGAATAACACCTTACTAAGACACTTTATGTTGTTTTTTCCATTCATTTGTCACCCATCTGTACGCAGACTTCAGAATGTGGTTTCTGGAAGCCAAACTCCCCCAATCTGTCTGCGTCTGATGTTTCAAACAGCACTTTGAAGCACGCAGCAATATTAAGACCATTCAAAACAAACTCCACCAAGAGCGCGCTGCCCAAATGGTTCACCAAACCTCAAATAAAAACCATTACTGTCAATAAAATTCTCCATCCAGAGGGAAAAGAACAGGTGCATCTTAATAACATGAACATATCTGGAAGGCTTTCTGTGTTTCAAATGCAAAGCTTTACTAACAAAGGGTGTTCTCTGACTTGCTGCTAGACCTAAACACACTGTTCCTGCCACCATCACAAGCCTGACATCCATGAATTGTAATATGTTCTTAGGCAAAGGCAGAGGTTCAGAGGTCATGTGCTGTGGTATGTCACAGTAAGAGTTTTCCTTCAACAGTATCGCACGTTTCGGTGGATCTCGTACTCTTGATTTGTGGTGCTGAGTCAAATCTTCCTGCCATCAATAATGGGGTGACACATTGATTTAATTTATGTAGAAATAGTACAAAATTATCAGTTTCTCTTATCTCAGTATCTCTTAGTCATAGACCTAATTCAAATGCAGATAAGGTTTGTCTCTGACCCTCCTGCAGAACTTGACATGGTGGCCACATCGCTCTCGCCAAGTCATACAAACACTCGAAAATTTGGCTCAGAAGCAGGCTGTCGTTATACGTTGCATATTCAACATCTGACCCCAAAATGACCACATTCATCTATAAGGCTCTGTAGTTAAAGCCTCCACACCACTTCACATCTCTTCTCTCATTTAAATCTTATAACTACAGCTCTGTGCCAGTAATATCCATAACTTTAGATATTCCATATGTACATATTTACCTTGGCAGAACTAGGTTCAGGTGCCATGCACCTCTTAAATTGAAGAGCTGTATTATTTCATTCCCCTGGGCGATTTTAAAGCTTTAGTACAATCCCATGTTTTTTTATGACTCTTGTAGAATTTTACTTTTAACTTGATTGTCAGTTGTCTGGCCTTAGAAGTGGTGCCCTGCTGGTTATGTGGCTGTCTGACAGTAACTGTTCCTTGTTCTTAGGTCTCTTTTGAAAATAATACTTGATGTCAGTGACACTAACAGATAAAATAAGGATAGTAATACTAGAAGCATTAGTCTAGTAGCCAAGGGTGTGCATTTGTATTACATTGTTACCTTCTGGAGTCATTGTTGCACTCAGTCTATGTTTGTTGGGGTAGATTGGGTAACACAAGAGGCAGCTTCAGCTTATTGACTTTGGGATCTTAGGATATTGTGTTGTTTTCAATTCAGGTCAAAAGTGTAATTGGTATAACCAATCAGATGCTTACATGTAAATAAACTTTTATGGAAAAATAACTGAACACAATCAATTTTAAGATCATATTAAAAATGTATGTAAAAAAAAAAAAGTATAATAGTTGATATCATTTCCAAGTCTCCTTCTTTTGAAGCTTGTATTTTCACAGCCACCAGGGCATATAAGATCATGTTGCTAATGACTGGTAGTAGTGGACTGTGTATTAGAAAAGCAACTTATCAGCAATTTGTATCTGAGGGGAGAATGCATTTGCTCACAGTGGTAATTACAAACACAGGGGCCAATGGGGTTGCAGGAGAGCAGGAAGTGTGGGGCTAGGGGAGCATGTGTGTGAATTTACCACTTCGTCCCTGGTTGCCTGGGTCCTGGGCCCAGCCACAGGCCCACACA